GGGTATCGCCAGATTGGGTCGCGGCGTTGGGCTGTGGTGTTGCTGTAGCTGCTGCACAGGCTGCTCTTGAGGCGAGGGTGCAGGAGTCTGCAATTGGGATTGTTCTTGGAGGAAAACCACGGCGGACGATGTGGCAGTGGACGACGTGGGCGTGGGCGGCTTCTGGCCCTCGAGGGCTTTGCGCATGCGGCGCACCGTGGACTTTGTCTGGTCGCGATGGACAATCTCAAACTCGGATCGGTAGCCGCCGCATTCTCTCTTCGACTTTGCGCATTGTTGGCATGTTGGCTTGCCCTCATCGCACTGGGAGGGTGTTGGCCCAGGAGTCAGATCGGCGCGCGTTGACGCGAGGGGACGGGCAAAAATGGCGCGAGGGGACAGGAACACAACATACCTTGATGCGACGGGTCCGGCAGGTACGGCAGCCCCGAGACGGGCGCCCGCCGTAGACCATGTTCGCGTCGGCGCTTCATACGCGATACACTCAGGCTCTAGGTGATAGCAACAGGATGTTCTGCGACCAATGTGGCAGTCCTTGGGGACGCGATTTGCAATTGAACACGCTGCGGGGACCCCCCTCCAACAATGCGGCAGGTGACCAGGTTGCAGCCGGAATCCTTCTGCCTGTGCCAGTGAGATGCACGAACTCAGGGCTTGTGCAACCACCCCTTTCTGGCACAAGGCAGGAGCGACTCCAGGGCCTGGAACCTGGATTTCAGCGACCCCTGGACAGGCCGTCGCAGAAAGGGAAAGAAGAAGCGATGAGCACAGGGGCCTGCTGGCTCGTGCACTGCACAACATCACGAGCACAACTTCCCAACCTGCAGAAAACCACCAACACCACAGCCCTACGTTGTTGAAAGAACGGCGCCCGAAGCACACTGGATTAAATACCCGGGGCTCGGGCCAGTGCCGCTCTGCCGGACGGCATCGGCTTTTGCTCCCAGAAGCACACGGCGCAGGGGCCCTAGCAAAGTGACGTCAAACTTGCCCAAGCCCACCCCGCACCAAAAATCCCCGACCTCAACACCGCCAAGACCTTACCACAGCCATCACCATCCACCCATCCACCCACTTACCTTTCACCAACAACACAACGCCGCAACCATGCTCCCCACGGTCGACCCCGCCATCCTCTCAGCCCTCAACCTCTCCCCCACCTCCACCAAGCTCGTCTCGCACGGCGGCTCCGGCTTCTCCTCCACTTACAAACTGACCTCCTCCAAAGACGGCCACGACCTCACCTACTTCGTCAAAACCGGCACCGGCCCCGCCGCCGAAGTCATGTTCCGCGGCGAGCACGCCTCCCTCAACGCCATCCACGACGCCGATCCCACCCTGCACTTCTGCCCGCGCTCGCACGCCCACGGCGCCATGCGCCGCGCCTCCGACGGTCTCGCGCAGCACCAAGAGGCTAGTTCCTCCGGCCGGTTTTTCCTAGTCACAGATTTTATCGAGCTGGGGTCGAGTGCGCCGGGCGGATCGGGCATGTCGCTTGCGAAAAAGCTGGCGAGGCTGCACACGACGCCTGCGCCGGTGCCAAAGGGTTACGAGAGGCCGATGTATGGGTTTCCCGTGGCGACGTGCTGCGGGGCGACGGTGCAGGAGAATGGGTGGAAGGAGTCGTGGGCGGACTTTTATGCGAATCATCGGCTGAGGGCGATTTTGAAGGAGGGGGTGAGGAAGAATGGCTCGGATGCGCAGTTGACGGAGGCGGTGGAAAAGGTGGCGACGGCGGTGGTGCCGAGGTTGTTGGGGGATGGGCATTTGAAGGGGGTGTATCCGGTGGTGGTGCATGGGGATTTGTGGAGTGGGAATCATGGGCGGGGACGCATTGGGGGGAAAGGGGGGGCCGAGGAGGTGGTGTATGATCCGTCGTGTGTGTATGGGCACTCGGAGTATGAGTTGGGGATTATGCGGATGTTTGGGGGGTTTGGGAGCAGTTTCTGGCGAGAATATGAGGAGTTGGTTCCCAAAGCGGAGCCGAAGGAGGAGTGGGAGGATAGGATTGCGCTGTATGAACTGTGAGTTTCCGTCCCGGGCTGGTTGCGACGCAGGAGGGCTGTGTTCACTGACGATCGCAGATATCACCATTTGAATCACTTTGCGCTGTTTGGCGGCGGGTATCGAAGCGGCGCCATGTCTATTATGAGAAAACTAGTCGCCAAGTACGGAAGCTCAGGGTCGGCATAGCGTCGCCCTGCGGTATTATTATTGAGTATTATTACTCGATGTATCCAACGCCCGCTTCATCGCATGCGATTGCACCAAAGAAATGTATCTCTATGCGCCCATCCCTATTGCCCAAACGATATGATCTAACCCTTTCTGTACAGTCTCTGCACCATCTCCCTACAACCCCGCGTCGTGCAGGAAGTCAAAAGTGACCTTATATCCCGCCGTGGCGTTCGTGGAAAGAGTTAATCCATGGCCAGTTCCGGGTTGCAGATGGACCTGCAGAGCCGTTGAGGCCGGATAGAGCTCCTTTATGGCAGTGGTATTGTAAGTTCCCTTGCAGTCGCCGCGGCAGAAACCGTAGTCGTATTCTCCGATGGTGAACTGAACAGAAACAGGTTAGCAATCAGCATCAACAAGTTTCAAAGTGGTTTGCGACATACCTGAACAGGGCCCTTGAAGTCAGGGGCGGGCTGACCAAGAACTGTTCCCAGCGAGATGAACTCAGCGACGGTGTTGGGCTGTCTGATCTTCCAGGCGTAGTCGAGAAGCGCCGGCTCAAAGGCACCCTTCTTGAGGAAAACGAGTTGGGTGTTGTACTTGGTCGACTGCACGATGTATCCGGATCCGCGATCGCCAAACTTCTTCGGGTCATTCTCTTTGGCGAACTCGAAACCCCAGGGGGCAACGCTGACGCCGCCAAGCTGGCTGTTGTACAGGAATCCAGTCAGGATAGCGCCATCGCTCGATGCGCCATCCGCAGCGAGCAGCCCGATGACGAGGGCAGAGCCGAGTGAGTGGCCGACCTGGATGATCTTCTTGGGCTTGTAGCTGCTGAGGTTGGAGGCGCCGCCGAGCTTCTTGGAGCTGCTGACAAGCTTGCCAGAGCGTGCGAGGGCGGTCAGTTTCCGGAGGATTTCGACTTGAACGTTTGCCGAGACGACATCGTAGGCATCGGGCTTATCGGAGGCGCCAGTACCGAGGCGGTCGTAGGTGAAGATGGAATATCCCTCGGCCAAGGCAGCGTCAACATACGAGTACTTGTCCGACTTGATCTCGACATCCCAGTAGCGCTTGTCGAAACCAACACCGTGGGTGGCGAGCTGGAGGATGTCAGATCGGGGGCCCTTGGGCGGGACGCACAGCTGGCCGTTGATCTTGAAGGTTTCCTTGACGGTGATCTGCCCAAGGATACGGGAGGTCGTGTTGGGGGAGGTCCACCTGTTCATGTCATCGACCCAGTCCACGGTGTCGACGGTGCTCTCGACCTTCTGTTGCAGCCAGTGGATGGCGGTGGTGTCGACCGGCACCGGGACTTCGAGCTGCACGCATTGGCGCCCCGGCGGTCCAGTCGGAGACGCCTTGCCCTTCTTGACAAGGGACGCGGCCGCCAGGACCAGAACTATCAGGGCGGATGCCATGGTGTTGATAGGATAAAGAGGTGAGCGTGCAAAAGACGGTTGAAAGACCAGATGTTGATGTTAGTTCTGATTAGATTCACGTCGATTTCCCGGGTTGAGAAGCTCCCTTTATAATCAACTCATCGGCGCCTGCAGTTTTGTTCCTTCCTCATGGTGGTATTTACCATTCCAAATATCACGACAAGGGGGTCGCCCAGCCACTCTCCCCAGCGCTTTGGGTCGCCTGCAAACACCGATGATTACTACGCAACCACTTTTCGACTGTAGAAACACAAATACTGAACGTCGGCAGCCAATCAAATCTTGTGTGGCTGTGAACTATCCAATACGCGTTGCTATCTACAAATGCCTGCACTCACGTGTCGTCATGTATTTGGAGGCTCGGTTTGGTGCTCAATTACTGGTGCGTATTCGGAACGTCGGGGGCTTGAGGAGCCCGAATACCACGTATTTCATGGGTCCGCTGACAGTGATATTACCTCGACTTGCTGACTCGCAGATACAATGACAAATATATAAAATGAGCCATCGCCTGGCGACACCGCCATTGTTGGAGTTCGGTTCTTCGACGTCCAAATGCACCGACGCATTCTTGGCGGTCAGGAGTGAAGACTGAGCTGGGTTGTGGCCCCGCTCTTCCTGACCAATGTTTCTCTCTTTGAAGACTGGTTCGGTCCTGGCGGTAATGGGCTGGGCTTCTCACTGGCGGCTGCCTTCCGATCACGACTCCGCGACCTTCTGGCGTCACCGAATGCCAGACATATGTTTGGAGAAGATGTCAAGGAAAAGCCAGGCAGTAATTTATCTAAAATTCCGCTGACCTTCCTCCCTCCATCTCCGCACAACACAACCCTCCGCGACCCGGCCCCGACACTCGGTGACGCTGTCATCCACGTACATCCCTCTCGCTTGTGCCCCAGCCTGATTTGACCACAGGAGGTACTAGCCTTGATGGCCGCAGCGGCAAACTGCATCTTCCAAATCATTTCGGGCTCGAGAAGCGAGTCTGCAAGGTTCTGGGTCCTTGGGGGAGTTCAACTGGATGGGAAGTCGAAAGATTAGTAATCTCGGCGATTGTGCAGTATGACAGGCTCAGGCTGTGGTCTGCGCCGGTCCAGCCAGGCGGGAGTCAGGGTCGTCGTTCCCTTTGCGGCTCATGTTGTCTTTTGGGAGGTTTAGATGTGCAATCCGTGGTGATGTTGTCCCTGAGTTCAGGCGTTGACACCTCCTTGGCATCGGCCGATATGTTCCGTCGACAAAGGGCTGCAAGATTGGACGGACGAGGGGACCTGGATGCAAATGTCAGAGAGTCACGAGAGTCCGCCGACAAACCCAGTGGTGGGGTCGCCCGTCAATCACCTCCAGGTCGGGAGGTTCTAAAGAAAATAAAATGGGGCGACAAGTGGGCGGGTAGCGAAGTGGTAAAGCGTTCTCTAAGCGTAATCAGCGTTGAGTTTCTTCTAGCGTTTAGCGAAAGATCCAGGTTCAAGCCCTGGCTCGTCCATTCCTCTTTTTTTCGACTTTCTTAGGTGAGGATAGAGTTTCCGGTAACCTCGGCTTTAGAGACGCCTGTGTGGCTAAGTGCGGTGAATGGTCTCCTCGAGTTGGTGAGGATGATGGCATATGAGTCTCTTAGCACCAGCAGCATCAAATGATCAGAAGAATAGCCACCAGAATACCTAAGCTTCATTGGTCTATTCTTCATCATCCTTTGCTTACTTGGCCAAGGCATTCGACCTCTTTGATTTTGCAGAGTAATGGCTGTTCCTTAACATCACTCAGGACAGGCCTTTTGTTCAAGCCTCGCCCCATTGCTTTTCACACATCGCTTCCCTGATCATTACACCGCACTTTCGATCCCTCACTAGGACTATCTCCAGCAACAGGAAGAAACCCGTCGTTATAAACGTCTATGCTAATATCGACATCTGGTGGGAATTCCGCAAGGCCTTACCTGATTTCCCGCACCAGGCTACCTTTTCGGGCGAGAGAGGACGGGAAGTGGGTGCTCATGAGACCGACAGTGGTGGTGGGGACAGATGAGGGGAGGTCTTGGGGGAAGGAGAGGGTGGTGGGGGAGTTGGATGTTTGTGAGATTGTTTCGAACCTACAACTTCAGCAGAGCTGAAAGATGTGCGCTGGTGAAGGTGGGAGGTTCTGTGGTGTTATTGGGTGTGTTAGGACAGCGGTGAGAGTTGATTCGACGCCACAACCCCCAATAAATCCCTTCTTGTCAAGTCATGATCTGAATGTCATGCAATTGCCAGTGGCGTGACAGGACCACCTCATCATGGAACCTTCAAGTTGGCCGACCGGGCTTTTTCATTGCGTTTTGCACCGCCAAACCAGGGTATTTGAGCGTGGCACCTGCCCGTAGCTGAGAGAGTTGCCCCACCGCCAGTGCACCAGGTTCTTGCCGGCTCTGGTAAACGATCGAGACAAAGTGGCAAGTGCGACCGACATTATCTTCCTGGCAATTGGCAATCGACACGATGGACCCCACAATGGACCAAAGCATCCGCTTTGAGTGGATGGACAACACGGGTGACGCTTTCTCGCCATTCCTCGATCAATCCGTGGTGCCCTTCGACTTTGGCGCTTCAGGCTACACAGCATGCACCAACATCGGCGGCGAGATTCTCGAAGTGACGGGCCCGTCCGACCTCTGCGGGTCCATTTCCGTCAAGGGCGGCTACGAAGACTCGATGGATTCGCTTCTCGCGCGAGCACAGCGGCCATTCGGCGGGCGCGCCACCTTCAGCCTGAAGATTGCAGAACCCAAGAAGTCGGACGCTCCGGAGATGGCAGGGCCCGCTTGTCGCTTGGGCGCTCTGAAGGCACGGGGCAGTCTCAACCATCGGTGGCCCTTTGCTCGCTACTGGTTGGACATCGATGACGACGGCGCCCGCCCGCACATTGGCGACTGCACAGTCTTGTCATTTGTCCGAGAGCAGACGGTATTCCAGGTTATGCGTCTCCAGCTCTTCTCAACCGACATTGGCGACAGCGCGGCACCGCTCAGCAGCCCTCCCGCGAAGCTCAGCGACGCTACCGGTAGCGGCATCGAAGAGCGAGAAGTGAACGCCTACATCACATTGGGGGGGCCGATGCGTTTTTCCTGTCGATGTAGCGGCCTCATGCACAGCTATCCAGACATGGGCTGGGACGATGACGCCGGAGCCTGGACGATGAGGACAAAGGTTCTACCAGATGCGCAGTTTTCGATGAAGCTCTATGAGAACGGCAAGGCTGTCAACGATATCTGCCCCGAAAGCTCTCATGTCAGCGAGACGCCCCATGACCGAGATCCTACACCTTGGGAGCAGTGCAACAGGGAAAGATCGTTGAGGTTCAGGAACATGTTGTTTCGGCACACCGTCCGCGTCAAGAGCATGGAGGCGACGACCATTATGGCAACATTCAGGCTCGTTAGTAATCGGCCTGGCCACGGTCTTGGGATCCCGATTCTAACAGACGAAGTGGTCCGGGATCGACTAGGGGGTTTGAACCCAGAGCTCAGCAACTACGCCAGCAACGCCATGTGGAAATCCCTGTTCTCCTCCTCACTGGTGGTGGGCCGCAATGCAAGCCCTTCATTGCAGTATTACGAGCCGCAGCTTGGCCTTATCCAGCGATGCTTGGAGAGAGTGCTTTCGGCGCACCACGTCCAATTTTCAGTCGGTGGACTCCAATGCGGAGTCGACATCTGGCCTCACGTCCCCGGTGCCGCCGTGAGTTTGCGGCAGCTTTTGTAAGCCATGCCCCTTTATCTACTTCCGCCGCCCACATAAAAGGAAAGCTGACGTGATGGCTTGTTTTTCCATCAGTTGGGTCATAAGATTTTTGGCCCAGGTGTTGGAACAACTCCTTCAACTGGACAATACGGCTCAGAACGCTCCCGCGATAGGATACTACACGAGCGAAATACGTACCCACATACTTCGGACTGTGAGATTCGTGGTCGCTGCAGCAAGAGGGGACGGGGAGGGGACAGAATGCTGGTGGAGTTCAACGACCCCTGGCAAAGCAGCCCCGACAGTACGGCCTGAGCAGGAAGAAGGCATGCCATGCAGTCACAGCCTTAAACGGTTCGAGGACGCCGACGATCAGTACAACTGTTTCTACTACGCGCCTATCATCTCATACACAGTCAAAGCACTGCACGACTTGAACTTGACCGACGACCGCAACGAGATACTGTCGCTACTATCCGAAAATGTTGAGGCTATCTTGAGCGGCCTGTGGAAGATCGGTGACAATCGCGTTAGCACAGGCAACTCAGCTACATTCTGCGCTCACAAGTGGCATCACTACGAAGCACTCGTCGAGATCATACAGCTGCTGCGCTCAGAAGGGGCCGGCGACATGCAACTCGAAGACGCCAAACAAAAGGCGGAGCGGTGGATGCTGTCACTCAACAACTCGCTAGCAAGCCTGATCTCCTCGGGAGACGCGTACACGCTGCAGGATGAAGTATGTGATCGGCTCATCATGCTTCTCACGCAGCAGAAGGAGATTGGGTGCAGAAAGATCCATGGCGACACACTGCTGATGATGGCCACCCGGGAACTTGGGCGGCGCCATCTCTCGGCTTCTTCGCGGGTGCCGACCATGATCATCAACCCCGGCACGCTACCCAAACAAAACGTGGGCCGCTTTGCCCCGCCAACTGCGGCACCGTGGGAACTCCACGCACTCTGTCACCACGCGGCACTGCTCGAGTCTCCTACCACGCAAGGGGAGGCGCCGAACAGAGCGGTGCAGAACTGTCTGCAGTTCCTGTCCTCGGACGAGTCCATCACTCCCACCTGGGAGCGCAGCACCGTGGACTCTCTGGCGGGTCGCTTCAGTCTGGAACCCACATGCGTCATTGCGACCACGATGCTGCAGAGATTGGTGGCCGTCCAGATCGACCATCATGACCGGTGTCGTCAACGGCCAGGCAGCCGCGAAGGGGGAGCGCCGGCACACACGGGGCACACCGGGAATACCGTCGACACCGACCACAGTCACCGCCCCGTGTCTGAGACTGCTGATGGGGCAAGCATTGCAGAAACGGAAGCAGGTACATACAACGACGCCACCGAGACCCTCCCTGTCAGGCCGACCCCGGGTGTGCGCGGCAGATTGTCCGACACCATCGTGCGCCTTTCACGGAGACATCTTCCGAGTCTTGGGCGATTGCCGCTGATGAGCGGTCTTGGAGCGCGATATATCTACAATCGCGGCCAAGGTACCCATGAACTTGAACTCGGGCCATCTGGCACACCTGTCGCCTCCTCCGCATCCTCGGATATGAAGACGCTCGCCGACGCAATTCGGCTTGCGGGTGGACTGCCCGCTCCGATCGATTGGGCCCTCTACAAATTTCCCCATGCCCACCACCCCAACGCCTTTCTCGACTCCCTCGACGACTCCCCACACCTCTTTACCAACACCGAGCTCGGTCGTATCGAGCTTCGTCCCCGCCTCGCCGAGCTTCTTCAAGGCAAAGCACCAAAGTGCAGCCTCGAAGAGCTCGGCAGTACCATGAGCCCTGAGCTGTGCAGGAAGGTGTCTATTATTGACCTCATGAGCCCAGGTTACTTCATAGGACAGAGCGCCGAGTCACCTCCGCTTCGGAGCAATCCCGTTATTACCGGCCGAATTTGCCCCGGCAACTTTCTTACGAAAGAGTGCGGCAACAATCCTTTGCGGTCAATACCGCTCTATGGTGGTTTCCTCGACGGTGCGTTTTGGAACGACGCTAATGCGGCCGCGCGATGGGGCAAAGAGTTGAGGGAGCTGCGGTTGGACCACGGTCCGATAATGTACCGGATTTCGAGCCCAAAGGAAGTGGTTAAGGAGAGAAAGAAGCTTCAGGCTACTCTTCTCGAGAAGTTGGGTGATAGTTTGGTTGATCAGCAAGTTCAATGTCGCTACTTGTAAGTTCATGATTACCTACCCATACTTTTCCATACTGACTCAGGGCTCACTGGGGAAACACAGCTTCATCCAAGATTGGAAAGATCCTCACCTCATGGGGCCGTTTGTATACGTGTGGCACAACGAGCTGCTGGACGCCTTGGAAGATCATCTCGGCACGGCCTCCATCTTCTCCCACTCCTGCACCGAATCGACATGGTCTTCCAGTCTCACAATCTTCCATTGGTCCATCTCTCTCTTTCACGACGAGAATTCCGGCCACACGAAGCGATTCCCGGAGGAGGACATCGCCCATTTAAGCCCGAGGGATGGTCCCGACGCGGGTACCGGAAAGTCTGAATGCCACTGGATCCAAGAGGAAGCTCACCCCACCACCATCCTCATGACCAGCAATGCACTGGGAGACTTTATAAAGTGTTCGGTAGTTTCCGAACTTCTCTCGGAGTCGGCCCTCTACAAGTTTGCGCATACCGCATCCGAAATCTGGACCATGTTCTCCAATCAACCCCAGACAGGCCGTTGCCTGGCTTTCCTACATCTTGTCGGCCTGTTATGCGAGGCCACGTCAGTGGAATACGA